ATATACATATATTATATATATAAATTAATGTTTTTAACTATTAATAAGATACTCTTCGAAAAAAGAAATATTCAAGATTGAGACGCATGTCTACTCACTAGATTCAATGATTGCCGAAAACGTGGAGCACATTGCAATTAATAATATCGGTAATTGGTGTATGCGTGCCGCGTGCCGCTGAACTTCAAAGGTCATCGCCTGGCAGCGCGAGTTTAATTAACGCAATCAAATGAAAATATTCATGTACGCGCCGGCGCCGGGCTTGGTGTGCGTGCACGTCCGTGTGTCTGCGTGAACCGCCAGCTCATTATGCAAAAGTTCTGTGCGTTTCCCGCAATTTCAATATTCGTTCAATTCCCGAAAGGCTCGCAACGGTAAATCGTGGCATTGACACAGATCGCGCGCTTCAAAATCGGATATAACTCGACTTTTCGGTCGGGCGTTTTAAACCGTCGCCGAGTTCGACACGTACACCACATGCTGCAATTAAAATAGTATTTCGATAGGGCGCGTAATGAATGTAACGTGTTTCAGTGTGCATATTTAATTCTTCGATGCCTCGTAGAGGTAAATGAAATTATAACGTGTTTATAGATGTCGAAGATATATAATCGTACGTTTATACGCGTATCGGAAACTTTCCTATTTAACACTTTGAGTGCCGAAGGTATTTTGAATGTGTTTCTTACGAGGCTTAAAATACTCGTTCCTATTTGAGTAAATAAGGTCGTCTTCCGGAATTGGGAGACGTGGCACTCAAAGTGTCACTGACTGTTATATAAAACGTACGTTGAAAATATTTACACCGTCCTCGCATATGATATGAAAGTTTCTTTCCTCATGTATCGTGAATTTTAATATATCTCCTTCAGTTGGTATATTGTAGTTGATCGCAAAGAAAAAAAGTCTAAAACTATTCGACTGAATCGTGTTATAACATCCTCCGTCTTGTTCGTGTGAAATAATTGTTACGTAAAAAGCAACCCACAGTCGAGTACTCCAGCTTGTTACAGAGAATAGACACGTCTATTCGATATAAAAGCTAACACGATGAATGTTCTTTCCCCCATTCTGAATAATCACGCGTGACTATGTACGAGTTATCTTGCGACACTCGATCTAATATCAGACATTAGCGTACATCCCGGAAATCGTGCAGCTTTCTGTCGCTAACTCAGCAGCAATTGGTGTCCTTCGTCACCCTCTACAATTGTCTCGAGAATGCGAGTAGAGGCTCGCACGGTAATTGCGGATCGACATGTCACGCGTTAATGTCATATCTGCACGATTGCATTTGACGATAACAACGCAAGCTGTGAGATGTGAAAACTAGTTGCGTTTTTATTTTATGATCCTCGCCTCGATATCGATTCGATAAAATTTAAATCGCGCGCTTACAATCATTTGTAACTAATTGAATAAAACACGTCATTCGCATCATTACTTTCACACGTTCGACTATCGTAAAAAGTGGCATAATCCACTTTTACACATCGCACGAAAAGTTATCATTTCGTCGACGTGTCCCTGACTTATGCATGTCATCGGGAACGACCATGATGGGCTATCGGTAACGGACGACGAAGTTTAAAAGTCGGCGATAGTTAAAACTGTCTTTACCATCAAAATCAATGCACGCAGCATTGTCGGAAGTCTATAAGAAAATTATTAGTGAATTCAAGCGTTTCGATTTGTTCCTTGATACGCCAGACTCCATAGTTCGTTATTGAATCGCGGCAGTCACGTCGATTGCGAGATTTGTAACGCTTAAATTAAGCACGCGGGTATATCGCAGTATCGGACTTTCATTATCGAAGAAGAAATTACAGAAGAAATTGCGGCGCTAATTATCCTTCAATTTTCAATTGTTCCTCATCTTCGCGGATTGCCAGTTTCAATATATATTTACGCGAATGCGCTCGATTGGCGATCCGCGCGATCGTGAGCGATTTATGAGCGGAAGATGAGACATCGAATTATGTCATCGTTCACGTCGACGCTCGTCGCGACCGGCTCTCTTTGTAGACGCGCAGAAACGCGGTCTTACGTGCCTTACGGTATCCGCCGTAACGCAAATCGGTGCACGCGAGCTCGCTTACCGCGCGCGTACACGCACCCGCGTATTGACACTTCTGCGGTGCAACGGCGTGTGATGCGCCGACATAAACGCGCACGCTTCGTTACCGCGACCCGGCGTGCACACGCGGGTCACGCGCGCGTGAAATCGACCACGTGTGTTTGCCGCCGTCGTTATCGTCGATGTCTACAGCAGAATGAAGACGGGCGGGCGTGCGAGGAGCGTGCTGTAGAGAGGAATCGGTCGGAGTACGTGAACGCATATTAATTAAAAGCCGCATTGTCGCGGAAAGATGTGCTAATTACATCTCGAAGGAGAGGTCTTTCACGGTCCCCTCCCGGTCCGGATCCGTGAATGAATGAAGCGCGAATCTCGCGCCTGCTTTCTTTCCGCCTCTGAAAGCATCTCCTGGTTGCTTGCCACGTGCACTGCCTTGAATCAACGCACTTGAGTACACCTTCGACCCCACGTAATATTATACCGGAGACGGTCTCGCAAAATTGCCCGCCGCTGCTTCCCCGTCACGGAGGTATTATCCGCGTGCTCGTAGCTTAATCGTTATTTCAACGATGTTGGAGAAAAAGAAAAAAAGTACAAGAATCACACTCGGCAATCATTCGTTAGGGAATACTTATGGCCAGGTTTCTGACACTCCATTTCTTCTGTCTAGATTAACGAATGACGCCGTAGCAGAGGGCTGGTTGGTGCGCGGATACCGGGACGCAAGAGGTGAGTTTAATGTAAAATTGATAGGTAGAAATTAATCACACATTGAAATCGATCGAACGCGCGAGTTTCGCGATTTTCTCGCAATTAATTCATTTCCATGGAATGACATGTAAGTCATTAGTATTGACTATAACATTAGCTCGAGTGTTGCTACTAGGATGTTTAACGTTAGTCATGATTTTGGCGGCTATAGTTGGCCATTAAAAACATGTATGGATGCTCTATATTTCGAATACTACATCGTAATTTGATTACAAACGTTACGTTTCTAATAACGTTTTGTTGTGGTCCAGCATTGGATAAAAACCTTGTTTAATAATTATAATTTATTGGGCATTAATTAATGATGAATGTATGCAGGATAATACAATGATTTATTGATAAGAACGTTACAAATTATTCAAATTATTACAATTATAGTTTTATTTATTTTACTTTTTGCGATTAATTTGGTGTGTATATAACGGTTTAAAAAAGCACAGTTTTTAAAATGTGTATAAATATGATCGTTTTACATGCGATTGGAGTTACGTAACGTGACAAAAAACAGGTATAGAAAGTTATCGATATTCGCATTAAAGAAGAATCGTTAGTGAATATAGTGAAAGTTTGATGAGTTTTTCTTATAGCAACTTATAAATTTATTCTGTTTGCTCTTTTCCTTCTATATTATTTTATAACTTTTGTATTTGAATTTATATCGCTATAGGGGGCGTTGCTTTTTTACGGTCCTATAATTTTATTGTTTTGAATCTATTTTTGAGGTGCGGTCTATATTTTATGAAATAATTTTAAATGTTTTCGATATAACAATATAAATATATATATACATCCATCACATATATATATTATCCATCACACTGTGATATATAAAAACCGTATATGATTCAAAATTATGAATATTTCTCATTTTTTCATAATCAGTATATTTAATGCAAGAAAGATGATATAGTATACTGCATTCAATGATAACAGCGCGGAATAATAGATAATGTTTGTAATAATTAAATAGTAGACCCTTCGTATCCATACAAAAATCGTGAACCATTTCCTCTTTCAATCTCTCTCTCTCTCTCTCTCTCTTTCTTCGGGGTTCTCATCTTTCTCCCGGGGATTATGCATGCGAAAAGTCGAGATCTTTCCATAATACAGTTGATACTTAGAATTTAATGCATTTTATATCGTTACGCTTGCCGCATTCTCTTTCCTTCATTTCATCTCATTTCTTGTCCTTCACCATTTTCCATCTCGCCATGCCTATCCTCCTTCAGTTATGCACGCGCAGTCCTATCTCATTCCACTTTCCAAGACCGTGGCTCTTCTGCCCACTCGTTCAACAGACGACATATGTGTCTTTATGAACGGTATGTGGAGCAGACAAGTGCATTAAAACCTCGGGCGTTAGTTCAAGCTTCAAGAGGGAAGACTGGATAGCGGCAGGACGGATGGAGGGCTCAGGAGGATACACAAAAGAATGCAAAGTAAGAACCACGACCTCCAACCCCCTCCTCCGACAATCCACTTCGTATTCTCTTCTAGCCGCACCCTCCCTCCCTTGTTCTCCTCCCTAGTCCGTTTACCTGCATAACCGCGTTTCATGCATTCCTCTTCTTCTTCCTTTACTGTATCGTTCCTTCTGTGCGCCGGAGGTTACAACGCATTATCATACAAGGCGACGCTGCACCTCGTCTTCCCTTAATTGTTTCCCAGTCTCACCACGTCGCGGGAGGGACGGCCACCCCAGCGGCACGTTCTTGCCAAGATCAATTCGCTGAAGTGCGAGAACGACGCCGGGGAGTGTTATCTCTTTTTGCGCGCGCGAGTCGAAAGCAGGGATGGGGGTGGGGGAGGGAGTGAGATAGAAAGCGCGACAATTTACGAGTGGTCACCGGGGTGGTAGGGCGTTCGAATTTCTCTCTCTCATTCGCGGCGGAATACTTCATGTTCGACATCAAAGGCCGGGGACATTTCGCGCACCGATGGCTGCGAGAAGTTACGCGGATACGAAACCATGGAGAACAGGCCTGCGCTCTTATTGGTGTCTCCGGGCGGAAGATATCTTTTTTTTTCGTGGTTCGATGAATTCGGGGCCACAGACATCGCTGGTATCAGCGCCCTTTGTTTTTTGGACACGCACGATTTCGCGATGTTATATACATCGCTGTTTTAACGGAACTCCGAGATCTGAAAGTGATATTGAAAAAAATGATCGATTTCAATTGTGAAATATATATATATATATTTCATATATATACATTTTTCCA